GGAGACTTATCAAGCCGTCCGGTGGGCGCTCGAGGTATGCTTTTGCCGTTCCTGATGATCAGTAAACACAATGCTCACCACGGCAGGCTGGCTATCGAGCGTGAGTAGCATCACGAGACCAAGCTTTCACACGGCTGACGGATGACGCGTGCACAGAGTCGATTCAGCTCAGATGTACCATAACGAGAAGGAGTCTGGCAAAGCCATCTCTGACTTTCTCGCAAGTGATGCCAATACCGAGTCGCTCAGGCGCGAAGATATCCACTACACTTCCAAGCTAGCGTCCAACTCCGCATACGAAACGGCCCGCAAAGCCATCAAGAGATCTGTCAAGGAGGCGGGTCTTGGCTACATTGACCTATTTCTGTTGCACTCCCCATATGGCGGCAAGCAGGCGCGTCTCGACAGCTGGCGAGCGGTGGAAGACGCAATCAACGACGGCGAAGTCAAGATTGGAGGCGTCTCCAATTATGGTGTCAAACATGTAAGTAGACCCTGGTTCCCGTCTTTTTGCTTTAGTTGTCTCGGGAAGGCCCGTATTCAGTCTCTAGTGCGAACGAACATACACCCAGGATAGGAAAGTCGTTGTAGTCGCCCTCATTGGACTCTTCAGTATAGTCATGAGCGTCACCGAACATTCAACGTCGCCGAGGTCAATCACTGACAATATGCTAGTTGCAAGAGCTACTGGACTCCAACCCCCGGATTCCTCCAGCGGTCAACCAGATCGAAGTTCACCCGTTCAATACGTGAGTTCCCCGAAGGGACTGCATTGCATGCGCAACAGTGCTAACTTTGTACACTAGGCGGAAGGACATCACTTCCTTTTGCCAGCAGCACAACATTGTCGTAGAGGCATACGCGCCGCTGGTCCGAGCCTTGCGCATGAAGCATCCGAAGATCGTGGCCCTGTCCAAGAAGTACTCGTGCACTCCGGGCCAGCTTTTGGTCCGCTGGAGTCTGCAACACGGCTATGTGCCACTACCCAAAAGTGTGAAGAAGGAGCGAATCGTCGAGAACTCGGAGATTGGAGGCTTCGTAATCGAGGATGGCGACATGGAGACGATGGACGGGTTGGACGAATACCTGGTGACCGGTGAGTTCCTTTGGGTGTCTGGCATACGCAGCCATGTCAATACTCTCATCCCGCTGCTTTTACTGACGTGCAATTTTTCACCAGATTGGGACCCTACCGATTGCCCGTGAGTGTGCTCAGTGTGGAGGCAGAGATGTCGGGCGTGGGGGTCAGCGCGTGGAGGGTGGGAAATCGATCTCTTTCACATGCCACCAAATGTAGAAATGGAGCATGCTCATCTGTGCCTATTTCCGATGCATGACCATGTCGATATTGTGACGCCGCCATCGAGTCTCAAGTCATGATCTTGCAGCTCAATGACTGCAATGCGCGCATATGCGCATGACGGAGGACGCGACGGTAGAGATTGAGGCAGTGCAATGTCGCAGACAGGCTATGTTTATATCGTTTAGGTTTTAAGCTTGTGGGTTGACGTCGCAGACAAAGGTGAGGATGTCCGGCATCTCCGCAGCAGGAGGTCGCCAGCGGCCGCTTCGCCAAGACAGTGTTGCGTGGCCCAAGCGCACGCCCACATTCCGGCTTCTCCCACTCTCCCTGCCTGTTCTCTTTACCCTGACACGCCACTAGGCGAAAGCCCAACGTAACAAGACTCAGTCGCGCGCCCGCCGACGTCGGCATCGCGTCGCCTCCCATGGTTTGACTCTCGACTATTACCGCCCGCCACGAGCCTCGAGTGGCCGGAGCCCCCGCTACTTCACGTGCAACCACCCCGCGATACTTGTCCTCGCCCGCCCATTGGCCAGATCCTTATCAGTAGAAAAAGTGCACACCATGGTTTGCATCAACATGGCGTGCAGTAGACCCCATTGACCACTGAGACGGGTCCAGCACCCCAATCTCCCGGCCTCTGACGTACTCAAATCGAGTGCGACTTTGTTCCGCGCACTGTCACCGCAGGCCCAGCGAACTATCTAGCTTGCGCCGACTGCAATTATATATACCAGACACTCGCTCCTGCCTCTTCTCTCCATCAACTTGTGACTCTTCGACTGTGTCAATTTCCATCACCTCACATCTTCTTTCAGTCCCCAAGATACCCAACATCACAATGTCTGAGCCCGAGTTTGAGCAAGCCAGGAAGGGTACGTTTGCGCCTCCATGTCTGCAACACATCTAACATCTCACAGAGCTCGTCTCCACCCTCGAGGCCTCCTCCCTCTTCTCCAAGAACCCCGAATACAAGAAGGCCCTCGAGGTCGTCTCGGTCCCCGAGCGCATCATTCAGTTCCGCGTTGTCTGGGAGAACGACAAGGGCGAGTGCCAGGTCCAGAAGGGATACCGCGTGCAATTCAACTCTGCTCTCGGTCCCTACAAGGGCGGTCTCCGCTTCCACCCTACCGTCAACCTTTCCATTCTCAAGTTCTTGGGTTTCGAGCAGATCTTCAAGAATGCGCTCACCGGCCGTACGTCATACCCGAGTCGAACGCATACAAACACCAAGCTAATGCATTACAGTCAACATGGGCGGTGGTAAGGGAGGATGTGACTTCGACCCCAAGGGCAAGTCTGACAACGAGATCCGCAAGTTCTGCGTTGCCTTCATGAGGGAGCTCAACAAGCACATCGGTATGTCTTGACCCTAGCGCGTCCCTTCACTTCAGCCTCAGTGGGGCATGCACCTTCAGCGGTTCGCATGCTCTTCCGACAGCAGACCAACGAGATCTGGCGGGTCTATCTTGCCTTATCTTCCCGTCTGTCTGGCACTGCCCCGTCGGCGACGTTCGCGCTGCTTTCTTGGTTCTCCACTAGGAACATTTCACTTACGTAAATCACAGGTGCTGACACAGACGTACCTGCGGGCGACATCGGCGTCGGTGGTCGCGAGATCGGTTACCTCTTCGGCGCATACCGAGCAGAGCGCAACCGCTGGGAGGGTGTCCTCACTGGCAAGGGCGGCTCATGGGGAGGCAGCTTGATCCGTCCCGAGGCCACCGGTTACGGTCTCGTATACTACGTTGACCACATGATCAACTACGCTTCAGGCGGAAAGGAGTCGTTCAAGGGCAAGCGTGTTGCCCTCTCTGGTTCCGGAAACGTCGCCCAGTACGCTGCGCTCAAGATCATCGAGCTCGGCGGAACCGTCATCTCTCTCAGCGACAGCAAGGGCGCTTTGATCGCCGAAGACGACAAGGGTTTCACCCCCGAGATCATCAACCAGATCGCCGCCCTCAAGCTAGAGCGCAAGGCTCTTACTGCTCTGGAGAACCACAGCTTCAAGTACATTGAGGGTGCCCGCCCATGGAAGGAGGTCAAGAAGGTCGACGTTGCTCTTCCTTCAGCGACCCAGAACGAAGTCTCCGAGGACGAGGCGAAGGCTCTCATCGAGTCTGGTGCCAAGTTCATCGCTGAGGGTTCCAACATGGGCTGCACACAGGAGGCTATCGAGGTCTTCGAGGCTCACCGTCGCGAGAAGAAGGGCGAGGCTATCTGGTACGCTCCCGGAAAGGCTGCCAACGCCGGTGGTGTCGCCGTCTCTGGTCTCGAGATGGCCCAGAACTCCCAGCGTCTGTCATGGACCGCCGAGGAGGTCGACGAGAAGCTCAAGGGCATCATGAAGGACTGCTTCGAGAACTGCCTGGGTACCGCCAAGGAGTACTTCACCCCTGCCGAGGGCGAGTTCCCATCTCTCGTCGGTGGTGCCAACGTCGCCGGTTTCCGCAAGGTCGCTGCCGCCATGCACGACCAGGGTGACTGGTGGTGAACAGTTCGCTGCTGAGCGGAGTGCCTTTTGTATATGATACCTTACGATACCTTCAATGTCCTTGGCGTTCGGAAGCTGGATGCTTCCACTTGTATATAGATACCTACATGAATAGAATCATGAAATACTTCATCACATTCTGCCCACCAAGCTTTACTTGAAACCCATCACCAACATCACACACATGCGCATCACCTTGCAACCGACACACCGGAGAAAACCGCACTCCAACCCTCCCCAATACGACACAGCTATCCAAAATAGACACGATCCCAAACCCAATCCTCAGCATTCACGACTCAAATTATTCATCACGCCATCACGTCACCAAGCCTCCTAGAAAATTACTCACCATAAAAAGCAATGCACAAAGTTTCCTAGTCAGGGCTCAAGCACAGTCGCGTGGCGCCCCTGGGTTTGCATTGCAGTTGCAGGACCCCTCCACGCGCCCACGCGCCCCTGCCCCGCCAAAAAAGCAACGCAGAACATTTGAATCCCGACCCCACTGCTCGTCCACGTCCACATCGAAGAAGAAGCAAAAAAGCCCACACGCCAGATGCGAGTTGGGCGCGATAGCTTATTACCGCTTTCGATTAGCGGGACGCCCGCGGCGAGGGAATGAGTTGGTGTTATGTTATACGTTTTGTCAGGGTGCGCCGGGATGGGGGGTGAGTGGGCGATGGGGTGGTACGGATATGTCTTGCAAAATTGTCACGAAGAACTGGATCCGTGATGATGTGCCGGCGCGTGAGTGTCGCGTCGCACCGTGGGCGCCGATGTGCGGAAAAGATGGCGGCGTTGGATAGGCACGGGACGGAAAACGGAAAAGTGTGAGGTGGGATGGGTTACCCTGTTTGGTGTGGTTCGATATCGGAGGGGGGAGGGGCGATGGGCGATGGGCGATGGCGATGTCGGGGGATTTAGGGTTGGGTTTGCGACGTTCGGAACGGAAGAGTTAGATTTGATGGTAGAGTGCGAGAACGGGATGGGTTGGGAGTGAGTATGCAATTTTCTTTGGGTATTGCATTTGTGTCTGGAATGCTTCGCAGCGGCCGAAATTCACTAATCTACCCGATGGTAGAGGTCTGAGTGTACACGCGCACAGCATCATCTCACATCCTCCATGTTGACATTGTATTGCCGCAGAACAATTCAGGTGCAGATGATATGTATTATCATGTAAGCAAATGAGATAATAAGCAATCACTCAAGTACAGTCGTCCATTCCCTCAATAATGCATCCACTTCATCCATTCCATTGCTCCCTCTGCGGATGTCAACAATCTCGAAATCATTCACTGTTCATATGTCAGTCACATAGTCCTTCGTCAGACGGATTGAGAGACATACACTGCTGTTCCGTCAGACGTGGGCTTGCCAATCTCGTTGGCAACACCTCATCGCCGACAAATCCGGCATCGATCTCGATTGTCCTACCCGTATTCTTCTTCTTTGCCTTTTTGCTCTTCTTCGAAGATGCCACTGGTTCAATCTCAAGTTCAATTTCCAAAGGGTCGGCGGGACCTCTCTCAGGCGAGTCCGCCCTGCTATAATTTTCTACACGGACAATAGGGCTCGTCAAATATCGCGTACGGGAACCATCAGGCGTTACGTGCACATAAGCGTATTCAGACGTGACTTTAGGCTCGGAAACTACTAGCGATGGCGTTTGAGCTCTCTCATCACCATGTAGTCTCTCATTGTTTTGCAATCTGGCAGCTGGAGGAGTCGAAGCTGGATCCCTAATTGGCTGTTCCCATTTCTCAGGCTCTCTTCGTCGTTGTTCTTGTAGCTGTGCACTCATATTCTCTCTCTGACGGTGCCCTCGAATCACAGATTGTTTCGAACGGCTCTGATCTGCTTCCATTGCTTTCTTCTTATCGTTCTTTTTGTCTTTTTTAGAAGTTGGGGTTACGGGGTCAACGACAATGATAGATGCAGATGGGCGGCGCTCCTCTAATCGATATGAGGCTGATGATGAACGGGATCTATCGCGGGCTGACTGCGATGGCTGTGACAATGCATATGGGCGGGAATCGCGCCTTGTAGTTGCCTCAACTCTTTCAGGGGAGCACATGGGGGTCTGCCGGGGAGGGTAGCCAGGCGCGCCCGTGTTGATAGGCGGCAGAGGGCTGATGCCGCCGGAAGGGGCATAGCAATATGAGGGCGGGCGGCCCAGCGGGTTCTGCTGAGTTATGGCACTGGGTTCCTCTCTTCTACGTGTCACTTCTCGATATGTGACTGATCGCCCAAAACGAAGGCCGAAGGATGATGAAACCCGGTCGTCTCTCGCCCGCTGATTCTCGAATTCTGTTAGTGCTCTTTCGTTACTCGGAGAGCTGCCGACATCTTCATCCTTTAGTGTCTCATCTCGCGTAGCAGATACACTAGCCTGGGTGCTCGTCTTGCTGATCCATGGCTGACTTTGTGTATCAGTGACATTGGCTTGAGATTTGCCAAGCAGGACACTGTCGAGATGAGAGCGAGCGAGAAAGTAGGATCCGATAGCCTTCTGATGGTGATCTGAGTGGTCATCGCCATTTACTTGTTCGGCCAAAGCCAGCTGCAGCGTCTCAATGTCTGCAAGCAAGCTTCGTACATGGTCCACGCATGTGGCAAGCGTATCGGGGTTGATTGTTGAGCCGATAGCCCCAGCAGTGTTGAAGAGGTCAGACGACGGATCAATGTCGTCTTTGTCCCGTAGCGATCGATCGCCATCATCTACAACAGTACTGCCATCGCTTATACTAAAGTTTCTCAGCGACTCCTCGTACTTCTTTGTGGCCTGCTTCTTGTTCTCAAGCAATTGCTTGATCTCTTCCCGGTGCTTCGCTTCAGCTTCGCGGTTGTACTTCTCCGATGAAACTTGATGGGCGTGTATGAGCACCTGCATCAACAGCTCCAATGTACTTTTGAGTTTATCAATCTGGCTCCGCAGCAGTTCGATCTTGTTGTCTTTGAAGGGCAACATCAGCCGACCCATTTTTCCTGGCTTGCCCTTGTTGATTTTCAGCTCAAGTTCCGTGAAAACCGCAAAACACTCCTTGATCGTCTCGTTCGCCGTCCTGACTGCATTTTCTGAAATCAGGTTTGCAGTCTCGTCTCTCTCGAAGATGGCCCCCAGCTCTTGGATGACGAAGCTTGTGAGCTTGACCTCGTTCGCGATATCCTTGATTCTGCGATCGGCAGAAGCCACACCATCGGCATACTGGTACAGCGTTTGGGACAGCTTCAAGCCTGCGCCAGCTAGCTGCACGACACTGGCGACTAGGCCTACCACCTCGGCCATGATAGAATTACGTGCAGCTACGGCAAGATATGGTTGTTAAGCATGATGAAAAAAGATGACGATGGCTTCGGTCATTGCGAAACTTGCAAGAACATGGTAACAACAATGCAATTGTAGTGTCTTCAGTCTGTTGATGCCTCGAGCTAAGCGGGCTGAGTTGCGGCTGAGTGGGCGGGGTAGCACGCCGAGCTGCGCTGCACGAACATCGCCCATGATGAAACAGCCTTGCCTCTCATTTCGCAAGCAGTCATCATTAAGCGCTTCATCTCGAGAACACTGCGAACCTCCCACGACGCGAGTAGGGCTCCGAACGGCTAACCGCGCGAAGCAAAGTTAGACCGCAAACTTGGATAGTTCGTTCGCAAGGTTCCCTCAAGCATCATCGAGCGTCAAGATCCCTGCCTGTCAGCCGTCTTTCCACTGATCGCCACCCGCTGGCTCTCCCAATTGGGTGCCACACTTCTCCTGCGCCACAGAACTACGGTATGATATCATGGGGTCTCCAGCGGGCAGAGAGGCCTTGCTTCGGGTTTCGTCCTCGATACAAAGGCTTCCCCGTTACTGACATTGACGCACATTGCGCATACTCACATACTGTTTGTTATACATACAGTATTTTCTTATTCCAGGGTCAAAAGCTTCGACCACCGTTCCCTAGACCTGCCCTCCACGTGCTCATCGTAATCGGGTCCCACCTGTCAACCGAATTTGGGTGTACTGCTGGCAATGGATGACGGTTTCCGACAACCTGCCAAACTTCAAAAGCGAAAGAGTCGCGAACGACAGGAACTTGAGCAGATGACCGGTGGCTTGAGTGGTCAACCCGCAGCCAATTCTTCGCAACCCATGTCCGGCTCCGACAACATGACGTCGGCTGAGAAGGAGAAGCGATCGAAATGGCGCATGTCCAATCCATTCTCTTCCAAAGAGAAGGCATCGAAAGATAGTCTTAACCCTACTCACAGAGAGGAAGAAAAGGAAAAGGCGCGCAGGGATGCCGACTCGGCGTATTACAGTAGCGAGCGCAGCAGCGCAGATCCGAGCTTCAAGAACCAAGCTCGTCCCATCTCCGGTGAACAGTACAACCATCCACCTACGAACAACCAAGCGCCTCCCGCTCATACGACACCACCGAACGGGCAACATCAGAATACCCTTGCGCCTCCCACGCAAACGCAACAAACGCTTCAAAGCCGGTCGAGCCATGAGGATGTCGGCCGAGAGACATATCGCGATGCCGGTTCGGGAAACATCGTCACCGTCACAACGACCACCACAACGACGACGACCACTACAACCGGTCCAGGTGGCTCCACCACTGTAGAGCAGCCCCGCGACAGCGTTGCTCCGTCTGAGCAAAGCGTACACACTTCTGGTCCCAGCCCACCACAGCCGGCTCCTCCTCAGCCGGACAACCACTACCATCAAGGCCCCGGTCTTTCAGCCCAGTCTGCTATACCTCAGAACATCACTCCTCCAGTGCCTATGAGCAACAATCAGCCAGGCAACAGACTATCTCCACAAGTCTCCAACACCGACGGCCCTTCGTCTCCACCCATACCAGCGAAGAACAACATACGGCATAGGGTAGAGCTGGACTCAGTATCGCCTGGAGTTCAGAGGCCGAACCCGATGGAGGAAGTTGTCAGCCCAGTCACTCCCAGCAGCCCGAACCGTGCGAACTTCTCCTACCCTGCGAGAGCACCGCCTCAAGGAGTTCCACGCCAGGTGCCTGGGAATGGCATCCATCCAGACCACCAGCGGATGGACTCTCAGCAACACCAGGATGGCATTCCACCCGTACCCCCAGTTCCAGGACAACAGCAAACACCACGGCGATCGAGCATCCCTCAAATGCCCGCATACCAACAGCAGCAGTCCGGCATGCCGCCCATTCCGAACCAACAACCATCTAGCATACCCCCTAGCCTCCAATCTGGCATCAACGCCAACAACCTCAACGATTCAGACCGCCCGGTTCCATACCGCGCCGGCCACGATCTGAACAAGCAGAGCACCATGGCGAACCTCAAGGCAGCAGCAGCGGGCATTCACGTAAGCACCCCACACACTACCACTCTTCATGCGTACATATACTAACACTGTTTGACAGGGCGCAGGAGAAACCCTTCGCGGAACATTCAACGACACATTCGACCGCCGCAACCCCGCCGCGCACGCCAAAAATCAAGCCGTCATCGACAAAGGCCGGTCGGAAATCGAGGCCGCACGCGCCCGCCAATACGCCGCTCAACAGCAGCAGCAGCAGCAACACATGGGGAATCACACATCGGTGTCACACTCGCAGCCACAAGGACCTACAATTGGGGCTGCACCACCTCCTCCTTCTGCTCAGATGAGTTCAGGGCCGTCAGCGGTACCGGGCAAGACGGCGTATCAAGGACCGCCGGTGTCTGGATCGCAGATTGAGGGGAGGAGTGGTGGAGGTGGCAAATTGAGTAATATCATGAAGAAGATGAAGGAGGGGCCTACTCCGAGGCAGGATGGGACTGCCAATCATCCTTGAGGGTGTGATTTGATAAGGGATTGTAATGCGATGCGATGAGTTTGTGCAGGGCCAGATACCATAGTGGATGTTTCAATACGATGATTGCAATGACTATATTTTACTTTGGGTGGAAGTGAGTTGAGCAATGGGTATGAATAACCTCTGAAGTAGCATGCGTGAAGTCAGAATGGAAAGACACTAGGCAGCGTTCCCATATATCACAATGTGCGAAATAGGGTCAATTGCATTATGATTCATTCATTTGACTATATTACATGTTCGTAGACTCGTAAGATGCATCATCCGCGTCAAGGTGACGGACACTGTAACAGTGACATTTGCTTAACCGTTGACGATAGTACCACCGTTGGCGTGGATAGTCTGCCCACTAATCGAGCTGCTGTCGTTGCTAGCCAAGAAGACAAAGCAAGTAGCAATCTCGCTAGGCTGCGACGGCCTGCCAATCGGCGCGGTGAACTGCTTGATAGCCTCGTCGTTCATAGTAGCAGGAATGAGAGGAGTCCAGACGGGACCAGGCGCAACGGCGTTGACGCGGATACCCCGTCCGACGTACTGGTTTGAGAGACCGCGGGTGAAGGCCACGATGGCGCCCTTGGTGGAGGTGTAGTCGAGTAGGTCGGGGCGGCCGACGTAGGCGTTGATGGAGGCGTTGTTGATGATAGTTGCGCCGCGCTTCATGTGGGGGAGGGCGTACTTGGAGAGGTAGAAGAAGGGGTGGATGTTTGTGTCGAAGGTGTGGAGCCATTGTTCCCTGTGTGTTGTTAGTAGGTTCTCGAGTACGAAGAGGAAGTGGTACGTACTCAGACAGGTCGTGGATATCGTTGATCATCATCTGGTAAGCGTGGTTGTTGACAAGGATATCAATGCCACCCATCTGCTTGACAGCCTCGTCAATGACCTTTTGGCAGTTCGCCCTCTCCTTCAGGTTGACGGCCAGAGTGTAGCACTTCTGTCCCTTCTCCTCTACCATCTTCTTGGTGTCTTGTGCGTCCTTCTCTTCTTCGGGAAGGTAGGCGATGAAGCTGTCGGCGCCCTCCATGGCGAAGAGAACGGCGATTGAGCGGCCAATGCCGGAATCTCCACCGGTGATGATGGCGCGCTTGCCCTTGAGCTTTCCGGCCGCCTTGTACTTCTCAGCACCTCCCTCTGGTGTAGGGAGCTCATCGACCTTGGGCAGGGGGTCCAGCTTGGACTCGAGACCGGGGGCCTGTTGGTGCTGAACATCGGGCTGGAAGCCTGTGATACCTGGTAAGTACAGGGAAGTCATCGAATGCTTGATGTTTGCTTACCCTGCTCGAACTGTCCCTTGTTGGACGACATGTTGTGTGGTTGTTTGTGGGTATCTCGAGATTAGAAAGAAGTATCTAAAGAGAAGAAATTGAGTGCAATTGTTTGACTCAGTGTGAGGATGGTGTAATTGTCGAAGCCAGCGCCGTTCAAAGTGGAACTTTTATTGACGTTCATGATTTCTTGTGACATCACAAGGCTGTCACGGCACGCTCATGTGCAAGAGTGGAGCCTGGTATGGTAAGAGTTAGGCGGAACATCACCGAAGGATGGGACTATTGAAATGTCCATCGACGATAGAATGCCATCGGTCGATGTGTCAACGCTGGCACGAACTGGTGGGAACGGCTAACGTCGCCTCAGCCTTACCCGTAGCTTTGACGCGCTCTTTCGCACGGCCTTATGATCGACAGCTGTATTCTTTGAAGGATACAAGAACCTCCAGCTGAGAAGAGGATTGAGACTGCAGCTCGGATTACTTACGAGAAACGCAGTCGGGGCAGCTTCTGAAGCAACCCCACCAAGCTCATCGGTCACGACGTCATCGAGTCGATCAGACCTGTAACACTTTCTCAGACTGCGTTGTGCTCGCAACCTTGTGTTGACGAGTTCAGTACCGTATTACGACCGACTGCCATCTTGACCAAACCCTCGGCGCCGTATTCGCAATCTTCACAACACAGCGATGACGCTGATGAAGCTATTCAGAGGTATGACGTACATCCCGCCCTAAAATCAGGGTCCAGCCGCGCCGCGCTATGACCGCATCCAGCCTCGCCCGACCACTCCGATTCCAAGACCCCTAGCACCAACGGCCATCGTAACTCGCTCTTGCATGGAACAAGCCACACCAAGGCCGTTTTGACAAGATACAAAGCTGTTAGGGTACGTCATGCGCCACGACTCATGTACCAGGGCACAAGCTTGTCCGGGTCCCTGCATGACGTGAGATAGACGATCGCAGCCAGATGCAGGGCGCTGGGCATGGTAGAACTTGATTTCAGGGACTTGGAGGGAATGAGATTGCGTGGACTGGGTTTGGGTCCTTTTGGAGGCTGTGGTATAAGATGGGGGTTATAGCACGACTTTGTGTATTCACATCACAACACCATTCAATTTATTCCAAGGTTATCAGCTATCAATCCTAAGAGCTTCCAACTCTACAACACAACCCTATCTCTAC